GCATGATTTTGCTTGCATGAGAGATTAGTGCTATGGTTCTATAGTTGTTGCAGTATCACCCCTAAACCTTCCCTTCACCAGATTAAACATAGCCACAATTCAGATTTATGATTAATATTTCACTTGATGGATTTTAATGAAGTATTTTATTGATTTAATTGTCTTTTTTGCTTCATTATACTTAGCAGTTGCATTGTTCATAGGCCACTGTGTCTAATGTCCTTATTCTCTGCACTTCAGTAGAAATGGTATCAGGAGAAAGAGAAAGGATAGAAATCCCCATATACACATATGGCCAGCCCTAGCAGAGTGGATGTAAAAGAACTAGAAAAGATCCTAAAATGCAAAGATATGCAACTGAGGACAAAAGTTAGAATCATACAAACCATTGTATCCCCTATTATTGATTTATTTTATTTATTTGGAGTATTTATACCCAGCTATTTAGCCACAAAGTCTCTCAGAGCAGCTTACAAATGGTTAATTAGACAGTTCTCTGCCCTCAGGCTTACAATCTAAAAAAATTCCTTTTACCGTGTATGGATGTGAGAGATGGACAGTTAAGAAACATGATAGGAAGAAAATCAATTCATTTGAGATGTGGTGCTGGATAAGAGTGCTGAGGATACCGTAGATGGCCATGAAGACAAGCAAATGGGTACTGGAACAGATCAAGCCCAAGCCCTACCTGGAAGCCAAGATGACTAAATTGAGACTGTCATACTTTGGCCACATCATGAGAAGGCATGACTCACTAGAAAAGACAATAATGCTAGGAAAAGTAGAAGGCAGTAGTAAGAGAGGAATACTCTTACACATAAGATGGCTAGATTCAGTCAGGGAGGCTATGAGTAGGAGCCTGAAGAAACTATGCAGTGCACTTCAGGACATGGGGATGGAGATATCTCATCTAAGGGGTTGCCATGAGTCAAAATCGACTTGAAGGCAGTTAACAACAACAACCATCTTGTTCTTTGCCACAGACAGCAAAAAGACCTGGCTTCCTCCATTCATACACTAAAATCAGCCAAGTCAAGTGGTGCATCTCTTACTTTCAGCGATTGCTGTTGCTGACAGTCAAGGGCTTAGGTGAGTGACCTTTGTCAGTGAGCCCAAATACATGGAATATGACAAGTGTCTCCTTTTTTTTCTCCATCTCCCCTGGTCAGCAGGAAAAGAATCCAGAGATCAGTTCTTCTGCCCACAACATGGATTTCCAACTCTAATCTTCACAGCATTGGCTCCTCTTAGAAAAGTGAAATGAAACCAATAATCACTTTGCTGTAAAGGGAAGAATTAAAAATATATTTCAGTATAATTTTTCTCCAAAAGGAAATTTCTTATAAGATTTAAAAAAAAGAAGTTGTCCACAGAGCCAGATCTTAATGGTAGTATCACTCCAGTTCTGTCATATATTCTGTGTCCATTCCCTGGCATATAAAAAGGTGCTAGAATAGGTCAGAAATGTCAAAAATAGATGGATGTTGTGATGTTTTCCTTGTGTATTTGAGTGCACAGAAAATCGTGTCTTACACATGATAATCATTTTGCATCCTCCTCCCTCACCCTTTTATTCCCTTGGTTAAACTGCACTTTCCCTTGGAAATAATACTAAAAGGTTTTCATTGTTGACAAGACAATCTCACACTTTTTATTTCTCGTTAAGATGACACCCAATCAACTTGTTATTATCTGTAGCAATGGCATGGAAAATAGCTTTAAAGATGACAGCTGCCATTTGCTGTAGACCAGTGCTATAAATCGGCAGCTCAAGACTTTTGAGAACAAACAAAATGTTTTTTTAAAAATACCATTTTAAAATATGGTTTGCCTTAACATAGTTCAAAGTACTACATTTTGTACCATTTGAAGGGGGACAGAAAGAAAATCATTTTTAAACATTATTATAGGTTAAAAAAAATCATTCTGATAGGTCAAAATAGACTTGGAAAACACCTAGAATAAACATGAATATATTGTATGTAAATTTAATTGTTGTTAGCTGCCTCAATTGTTCTCAGAGGGGTGGGGTACAAATACATTTTATTATTATTATTATTATTATTATTATT